AGAGGAAGGACAGGCAGGCAGAGAGAATAAATATGAGGAGGCATCAAGAGAAGAAGGAGAAGAGAATGATTGGGAGCTGGTTGGTGGCCTAAAAGAAAAAGGCTGGTACATACACCCTTTACAAAGTGAATGGCCAAGTGATAGGTAGGGAGAAAAGCTGTACAAACCATGCTAAGGCCCAATATCTACAATGTAAGACAACATGAAACAAAACATCCACATAGAAAATAGGCAAAATACTGAAGAGATAGATACTTTGTGAAAAAAGATATCTCATTGATGAGTCACAGGAAAAGATGGCTAGTGTTGTCAATTGCTATGGCCTAATAAGCTGGGACAAAGAGATATCCCTACATGTGTACTAGAGTAATTAAAACAAGACTGTGACTGTACTGAATGCTGATGAAGATACAGAGTCTCTTGTCCTTGTGAAGTAATACAGGGACTCTAGTAGAGATATTAGTTCCTAAAAAACAAAACGGACAAACAAAAAACCCACACATCAAGCTCAAGTCCTTTGCAAGAGTAGTCTGCGCTCCTAACCACTGAGCCATCTCTCAAGTCCTGTTAGTCATCTAACTTGCAATTGTTACTGATTTCTGGTTGTGGTGGGGTCGGCTAGCCGTTAATTAAATTATGATACAGGGTTGTAAAAGCAATTTTTGAATACAGCTAAGAATATGCGAAAGGGCAGCTGTGTCCTTGCATGTGATTCTCAGGGGAGTTGCCGTAGGAGGTAGCCAGAGCCCGCCAAGATTGGCTGTGGTTACCCAGAGCCCTGTCCTGATTTGATCCTCTTAGAAATTGCATAATCCCTCTATTTAACTTCCTCAGTGTTCCAGAACTTTCCATTTTAATCTTATCATTCCGTTTAATCCTAACATCTCTTTTTACTTGGACAATACTATTTTATAATCACACACCAAAGTATTATGGGTTCAGTTTTTCTTTCTCTTATGTACATTTTCCATTATTTTCTTTTTCTCATTGCTACCCTAATGTTCATTAGGTAGCATCTTGTGATTTCATGATAAGTTTAACTAGGGGTTAATAATATCAAACACTTTTTAAGGGATTGGTCAATTGCAGATTATTTAGAGAAACGTCTATTAAAAATGTTTGTCCCAGATGCAGAGACTCATGGCCAAACATTGGCAGAGCTCAGGGTATCCTGCTGAAGAGAGGGAGGAAGGATTGTAGGAGCCAAAGGGGTCAAAGACATCACAAGAAAACCCACAGAATCAACTAACCTGGGCTCACAGGGGCTCACAGAGACTGAATGGACAACCAGTGAGATTAAATGAGACTGACCTAGGCCCTCTGCACATATGTGACAGCTGTGTAGCTTGGTCTTCTTGCGGGACTTCTAACATTGGGAGCAAGGGCTGTCTCTGACTCTTTTGCTGGTTTTTGGCAGCCTATTCCTCATATTGGACTGCCTTGCCCAGCCTTAATACAAGGGGAAGTGCTTAGTCTTACTGCAACTTGATATACCATGCTTTGTTGATATCCATGGGAGGCCTGCCCTTTTCTGAATAGAAACAGAGGAGTGGATGGGAAAGAGTGGGGAGAAGGGAGGTGGTGAGGAGAGACTTCGAGGAGAGGAGAGAAAGAAAACTGTGATCAGGATGCAAAATAAATAAATAAATAAATAAATAAATAAATAAATAAAAAGGAAACACTGTTCATTTGGTATCACTAATTTGTATTAAATTTGCTATGTAAAAAAAGTTTGTCCAGTTTATTTGATTACTGTCTTTATTACTGACATTATAGATATTAGATACTAGAATCCTATTAACAGCTACCTGATTTGTAAATCATTTCTGTTGTTTTGGAGGAGTAGGACCTATATGTAGGACTTTCTTTTTGGTATGATTTGAGGCACAAAAGCTGTTAAATATGAAGTTCATTTTACCTGTGTTAACTTTGATGAAGTCTATGTTGCCTGTGTTTTCTTTTGTTGTTTTTACTTTTGGACCCATACATAATCAAGCATGGTCACTTTGGTCCTGGGAAGGTGCTATAGCTAATCTTGCTTGTCAACTTGACTATATATGGAATCAACTAAATCTGCACATCTATGAGGGGTTTTCTTGATTGGATAATTATGACGCACCCTAAATCTCGGCTGTAACCTTCTGGTAGCAGCCCACATAAAAGAAGATAAAAGGAAGCTTTTTCTTTTTGCCTCCTTGCTTGCTTCCCCTCACTTTCACTGGCATGTTCATCCTGCTGCTGAAGCATTCTTTTCTGGTGTTAGAATTCCAGTATAGACTTGAAAACCAACTGAGACATCCAGCCTCACATACTGGACAGCTACCAGACACCTGGCCTTACTGTCCAAAGACAGCCATTGTTGGATATCTGAAATACAGTCTATAACTAATTCTAATAAATCTCCTTTTAATATATATTTAATATAATATATGAAGGATATATATATATTCCATCAGTTCTGTTCGTAAAGGATCCAAATTCATCATTTTGAATGTGGAGATCTTGTGTTCCAATCTCTGTTGTTGAAAAGACTATTTTCCCCTCATTGAATTATTTTGACATTCTTGTCAAAAATGATACAGCATTTGGGAAAAGATTGATATGGGAAATAAATTAGTGGTTACCAGGGTTTACAGAAGTAGTAGAGACAGGAAGTTAGTATCATTACAGAATGACAACACCAACAGCTTATTGATGGTGATGGAAACACTGCATGTGTCTTGACTTTATCAGTGTCATACTTCCTGGCTGTGATATTATATTTTGGTTTTGCACATCACTGAACCTAGAGTGATGAACTAAAGAATATGTGTGCAAGGGGTCTATGAATATTGCTTCTTACAACTCTATGTAATGTAAAATTACCTTAAAATAAAAACTTCAGGCCGGGCGGTGGTGGCGCACGCCTTTAATCCCAGCACTCGGGAGGCAGAGCCAGGCGGATCTCTGTGAGTTCGAGGCCAGCCTGGGCTACCAAGTGAGCTCCAGGAAAGGCGCAAAGCTACACAGAGAAACCCTGTCTCGAAAAACCAAAATAAATAAATAAATAAATAAATAAATAAAAAATAAAAAAATAAAAACTTCAAGTAGAAATTATATAGTGAGGCTTCCTTGAGGGATTAGTCAGAGGCAGAAGGTGTGGCCCCCAGGATCCCCTAAGAGTGAGCCCCTCATGAGTGGACTGATGGACCACACATTGTGGCTGCTCAAAAAAGGAGCTGTCATATCCCAGAGGTGATCCTCCTAGTCCTATGCTTCCTATCTCTTGTGAAGAGTGATTCTTTGAAGGGGCAGGCACAGTCTCTAAGTCAGAGCACAACTTGCTACTTGATAAGCAAAGTCAGGGTTGCTATGGTATCGCTGAAATACTTTCACATTTCAGTTTAAAAATAAAAAAGAACTCCATTTTAAGAACTCAAAGTGAAAATTTAAACAATACAACTAAGATATTGTAGATTCAGCTGTTATCATATTACCTGCTAACCAGGTAGGTAATGACATGTTTAATATAGTAAAGTTGTTGGAAATCATTGACAATTAATGACATGCTATTATTTTTTATGTTTCAATGAATGGGCCACTTGACAGGAATCAGTTATATATCAGAACCATAGAAGAAGTTGCGGTCAGGATAGAATGACAGAGGACACATGTGTGTTTTAGCACGCACCATCTAGGATGCCATGGGAATGCTCTTCTTTTCTGTCTTTATCCCTTATGCATGCAGAACTCCATCTTCCTTTCTAGGTACCCACTGCCTTTCTGACTTTGTGGATTTAGTTTTCTTTGCAAATCCACTTCCTTTAGGAGGGTGGTTAAGTACAGAGAATTCATTTGTAGCTTAGTGTAACCTCTTTGCAAGCAAGAAGTGTATGTGAAAAGACTGTTTTACACAGCAGGGTTTTAAAAGGCTTTCTCTCTACCGTCACTCAATTCTCCCTGTACCTTACATTCCTGCTATCCTAAAGTCAGACATTGGGAATGGACCTTGCTTTGTTGTTCATCTGTTTTTTTTTCAAGTTGTATTCCAAGAGTTATAATGAGATGTTTTCTAATGGATATGTGGAAGAAATTAACATGAGATCTTTAGAAGATTTTGTATGATATGACTAAATATGAATCTTAGTGGAGGATGCAGGAAAAAAAGATTAAAAAATAGTGAAGAAAGACTATGCAGAAGTTAATCCTTTTCTTTCTCTCTCTTTTTTAATCAGAAAAAGAGCTGAAAAGGCAAAATTGTAATGTGGGGCCATCTTGATCAGTAATTATAGTGAACTTTCTAAAAAATGTGGGGCCAATAGTATCATGAAAATTACAAATGCAGGATTTAATGCAGTTTTATTTTATCTACTTTTAAATTTACATAAGAAGCAAGGACAGGATTATTAAAAAGGGATCCATGGTTGTAATCACCTCATCCATGATGAATAGAATGTGGCACAGTAAAGCAGGCAGGAGTTAACTCAGAAATGGGAGTCTAGCCACTTTGGAAGTCAGTTTAGTTGAGTTTTGTATTTGGCAAGATAAAAATTAAGGTGCTGTTTTTAGGGAAACCTTGGGAATTGTCTACAAGGACTTCAGATCTGTAACACATTCCTTTCTTTTTAGTATACTGGTTTATACAGTGTGGTGGTTCAAATGTAATTGGCCCCCATAAGCTCATAAAGAGTGGCACTATTAGGAGGTGTGGCTTTGTTGGAGTAGGAGTGGCCTTGTTGAAGGAAGTGTGTTAATGTGGGGATGGGCTTTGAGGTCTCATATATGTTCAAACTATACTCAGTTTCTCAGTTGACTTCCTGTTGCTGGCAGATCAAGATGTAGGACTCTCAGCTCCTCCAGCATTATGTCTATTTGCATGCTGCCATGTCCCACCATAATGATGATGGACCAAACCTCTGGAACTGTAAGCCATCCAATTAAATGTTTTCCATTATAAGAGTTGCTGTGGTCATGGTGTCTCTTCACAGCAATAGAAACCTTAACTAAGACATTTGGCTTACCTTTAACATGTCATTAATGAGACCAGTTTCTTGGGGCTAGGAAGCATAGCTTTCTTGACAAGTAACCTGCATGGCACATCCCATGGAGCCATGTTAAGTGTTTCTGAAGTTAAGCATGGTGTTATTCTTCAGTTTCTGGTCACTCATCCCCATCAATCACAGCATCCAAGGATGGCCATGGTGGCTGAGTCTGTCTCTTTAGCTTCCAATGAGAGCTATGAGGCTGCATCTTCTTCATTTGTTCATTTAGTCTGTTTGGGTCTGACGGGAGCAAACTGCAAGGAATAAAAATTCAATTCAATCAATACAGCTAGTTATAATGGCATAGAAAGGATCAAGGACCAAACAGCAAAAATTTCCTTGAAATTCACCTGCTTCAGAGCTCTATTATATTTCTGAAATTAAATTCTGGAATTGTGGTGATATATTGTGTCTCCCAATATATTGTGCATCTTAATAAACTTATCTGGGGTCAGAGGACAGAACAGCCACTAGATAGACATAGAGGCCAGAAAATGGTGGCACACACGCTTTTAATCCTGTCACTTGGGAGGCAGAGATCCATCCAGATCTCTGTGAGTTCAAAGCCACACTGAAAACAGCCAGGCATGGTGACTCATGATTTTAATCCCAGGAAGTGATGGCAGAAAGCAGAAAGGTATATAAGGTGTGAAAACCAGGAACTAGAGCTGGTTAAGCTTTTAGGCTTTTAGCAGCAGTTCAGCTGAGATCCATTTGGATGAGGACACAGAGGCTTCCAGCCTGAGGAAACAGGATCAGCTGAGAAGTTGGCCAGGTGAGGTTAGCTGTGGCCTGTTCTGTCTCTCTGATCTTCCAACATTCACCCCAATACCTGGCCCTGGGTTTGTTTTTATTAATAAGACCCTTTAAGATTCGTGCTACATGGAATAGCGCCATGGAGAAAGTAAGAACAAAGTTTATTTGAAAACAAACATACAGTAATTTCCACATCCACTTAGGAAGTAAAAGGAAAAGTTACACCCCCTTGGGAAAAGGCAGGGAATTAGTGGAGGGCCAGAATCCCGCATGGATACAAAACAAAGGTCTCCTGCTGGGGTTGGAATAAGAAACATGCTCCTGGCCACAGCTCCCTACAGGGATAAGGCAGAGGTTGATTTTTTTGTTTTTTCATCTTTTGTTTTATTATAGAAATATGAACACAACAGACTTCCTTTGGAAATCATATAAAGCAGAAAACAGAGAAATAGCTGCAGGGGATTAAAAACCATCCAATTAACCCAGGTGACAAAACCTGGAGAAAAATCTTACAAAATGTTAAGATAAAATAAACATATGAAAATATTCAGCATCCTTTTTTATCGGGGAAATGCAAATCAAAATTGCTATGATTTTCTTCCTCATCCGATCAGAATGACTGTCTTTGAGAAAAGCGAAGAGCTACCTGTGCTGGTGAGGATGGAGGGAGAGTGTTTCATGACTTTTCCTGGAGAGACAGGAACAAACACCTATTCACCCAAGATAGGGCACTGAAAACAGAACAAAGGAGGGAAGAATTTGTTGGAGTTATAGGAGCATGAATATACAACTAGTACAGAGGCATGGTAACTCAAAGTCAAACATGCCATAGGGAAAGCCCACTACAGTATGAGTGACAACTTAGAAAAGCTATGTCCGTGCAGCTCCTGCCCCAGCTTGCAGGCACTTCCACACCAAGGTTACTCTACCCCAACCTACCCAATTGTTCACTGCTCATATACCCTTAGCGAGGGTCCTTGTGAATGCGGTAACTTTCATGTGCTTTCTGAATCTTGCAAATTTCTAGTACCTTGAGTCTTATGAGCCTCCCTCCTCCCATCAGGATCAAGTCTATCAGTTCAGAAGACATAGCCATATCAGGAAAACAATCACACTCACAAAAGCCTCATGAAATACCTGGGAATAAACGTAAGTAGGAAGTGTGAAACCTCTACAGGGAAAACTTTACAACACTGAAGAAGAAAGCAGGAAGATGGCAGAGGATGGAAGGACCTCCTCTGCTGATGGATCATCTGAATTAATACTGCAAAAAATGGCCATTATACAAAAGCAAGCTATTGTGATTCAATGCAGTCTCCATCAAAATTCCACTAATATTAACAGAACTTGAAAATACAACCCTAAAATTCATAGGGGAAACTTGTCACTTATATGGAGTCTTCGTATGGATATCTTCATTTGAAGACTCATCTTGGTAGTATAAATACTAAAACTGTAACAATACAGAGTGGAGTCACATGGCTCCTGCACAAAGTTAGCACACACATTTGTGAATCATTTCATGTTTAAAGAAGAGATCCATATGTATTCATCTACATGATTATCGCAAAAGACCAAAGAAATTGTAATGAAGAAGGGAAGGAATATTAACAAGTTTTAACAATGATTAAAATAGGAATAAAATGATTTACTAGCAAGCCCACTTAGACAATATTAAAATGTATGAGAATAAGAAAACAAGCCTCAAACAAAACTTAGAAGTTTAAGACAGATAGCTTACTAACAGGTTTTGCTTCAACACTTTAAGAAAAAAGAGAGTTAAAGTTACACTTCTGATGGAGTGAACAATGAAAGCTTGCTAAGTTCTGTTTCCTACCAGCTTGGGCCCCTTCCTCCTTCCTGGCAAAGCAAATGACTGATTTTTACCCTTGAGAAATGACCACAACCCATAACTGCCCAGACAGCAAGTTCTGTTTGCTAAAGATAAAATTACCCACAACCTCAGCTTCTGTGAAATTTGCTTAGTTCCAGAGAAATTGTCTTTTGGGATGGGGATGAAAAGACCACATTCGGATGGTCTCATAGACAAGACTATGACATTGCTGCTGTAAATTTAAGCTGTAAAAATTTCTAGCTTGAGGCAGGACCTTCTTGAATTAGTAGCCTGGTCGTACCTGAGCATTTATTAAAACCGAGTCCTCACTCTGAGTGCATGTGTAGTCTTTTTGCTTTAACTTCTTTAAGACTTTAAGTTTAGTTTGAGTTGTCATTTCCAAGTTCTTCACTAGATCTCAGATTTTAACAAATGAAGTTACGGTCACATTTATATGCTTTGAAAATGTATTTAAATGAAGAAATATTATTTAGAGATTCTATTATGTTTTTCTTACTAGGGTTGGTTTTGGTCATGGTGTTTCATCACAACAATAGAAACCTAAGTAAGACAGAATTTAACCATTCTATTCTACTTCAATTATTTTGTTAGGTTTACTAGCTTTCAGCACTGATAGAAATGCAAATCCCTCTCAAAAAGTTCATGTTGGGAGAGCACATTCATGGTGTGATGTCATTTTTGTTTCTTATTACTATTTTCAAGTTGTTTTTCTGCCCTGAAGAGAAGAAAGAAAAGTAACAATGGCCAACAATCTAAATAAGTAACAAGTCACCTAGATCACTAAAAGTTCTAAGGGAGCCGGTTAGCACTGCTAGTGGATCATTGCCCACTGGGTTGATCTTACCTATGCCTATTAAACCTTTGCTGTTGCCAACTGCCTCCTATTTACATTCATGGCTGACTGAAGGCAGCATCAGTGTTCCAAGAACCTCATGTCTGTAGGCTCCGAAATTCACGTTTCTGCCTGCCTTATGAGGCCTCTTCAAGGTGAACTGTTCTGAACTGGTCCTAATCTCACTGCACCTGTTTGTTGTGTCCTGCTTTGTCTTGAGGGGTCAGCACGGTTTCTGAACCTGCAGGCCGCCTCCCAGGTGCATCCTCTAGGAGAACAAACCTTCCTCATGTTGCTGCCTTGCTTCTTCAAGGCCCATTGTCATTAATCTGGTCTTGGGCCCTGTCTCCCACCAGTTACCAATATCCATCGTCAGAACAGAGACACATGTGTTAAATTCCTCTAAGCAAGTGTTCATATGTTACTCTGACATGACACGCGTACTCTTTATTTTCCTAAATCCTTAGTATTTGAATTAATACGAACAAAAAATGTACATGTCATTTGGACTAAATTATTTTAAGTTGAATAGTTGAGTTAGCACACAAATTATTGTTATTACCTGGAATTGGCTGGACTATGAGGCATGCAGTCTTGTTACTTCAGAGCGTTAGTAGATGATCTGGACTATCAAAATACCAATCCAATCAGGTGTTTGGTGGTTGATTATTGTAGATAAGTGAGAAGCAATTGGAAGACACAGTTAACAGTTTCTTAAAATGATGCCAGGTGTTCAATCATTTACCAATTTTAGCTATAAAGTTGCATAAAAATCACTTCATTCATAGTGAGAAGATGCAGAGTGTAGCCTCTTAGGCTGATGGTAGATTTTGGTGGTTTGTGGACACTGCTTGTTTTTTCAAAGACAGTTTCATTGGAAAATATCTGTGCCTGTTTAAATGTTGCCTGTCATTGATTTCATGCTGTGATTATGGAATGGAACAGCTGTGGCAGACACCATACAGCCTACAAATATATATATATATATATATATATATATATATATATATATATATATATATATATATATCCAGATAAATGTATATTTATCTTGTTGGAACATGGTCTAGAAATGGAATCCTGTGAGAATTCTGAGTGCTTGTGAGAACATTCCAGGAAAACAAGAGTCTTGTGATTTTAATTTCTTCAAAGCATAGAACTGTTCTTGGAATGACTTTGTGTTCCTCGCAGGTGTGGCACACAGGGGTGAGTTTGTTTCAGATTACTTGTTACTGCTTGCTGTCATTATTCAATTAAGTGCCTAAACTCTCCTTTATATGCCTCTATGGAAAAGCACGTTTTTCTCTATGTGTGGCTTGTCCTTGTGATTGTATACAGATTGAAAGCATGAGAACTTTATTCATGTGACTTTTCTTAACCCTCAGAGTATATATTTTCAAGCTCTGAATAAAGTTGGCTATTGCATGAGGCTTTAGTCCACCTCATTTATCGGTTCCATTCTCCTAGGTCCCACTGCTTCTAGAACAGTAACGATATATTTATTCATAAAAATATGATACATAAATAATATATAATATATTTTATACATATGAATTCCTATAATATGTGATATATAGCACATGTATATTTCAGTATGAAACGTTTCATTGCACCATTGTCTTTCATAATGTCCCATATATAATACTAATATCACAGATAAATAACTGAAAGCAAAAGAGAATAAAATGTTTCTGGCAGGTGGCCCGGGGAATAGTAGGATATCCAAGAGATCTTTTGGTGAGGATCCAGTATTGATAGTGTACCAGAAGCCAGAGGCCTTGCACCAGGTCAACAACTCATTGCAGATACAGCTGTTTGGGCAAGAGGATATACTGTGACACACCGCAACTCCCAAGGCCACCATGACAAATAAGTATTTGATGGAGAGGCAGGAAAGCCAGAGGATCAAAGTAGTTTTTTAAATTATTTTTTATTTTTTAAATTATCTTTTTGTGGTGGGCTACAAGGATAGAGGGCAGACACAGAAGGACTGGGAAATGAGTGGGATTGGGGTGCATGATGTGAAATTCCCAAAGAATCAATAAAAGAATTGTATTGATAAAAATGTTTCTGGTATTAATAAAAATGATACCAATTAAGGCTAGACAATGTTGTTGAATGTATGGAATGTATCATTTGATTTGAAACTCAACATACATGTAAGCATGATTGAAATTTATGTCTGATAATCCAGTCAAGTAAAGCAACGTCCACCGAATTGTACACCTTTTCTTCCTGCGTTCCTGCCACATGCACTGGCTCCATTTGCTCCTCCAGCAAGGCTGCCTGCTCTTCTCCCACACATTACTGCTGCATTGCTTGGCTCCCACTCATTTGTTTAAGGGAATATCCCTTTCATTCTCTTATCATCATCCCCCCATGGAACCATGCCCATCTTTCAAGACTCACACAAAATATTTTTTTTCCTAGAATTTCTTCTCTGATTATCCTTAAATTTAGCAGTGATTTCTGAGATAACTGTACCTTTCCTTATGTGACAGTTCACAGATTCTTACATTGTTTTGAAGGAGAGAAAGACATAGATGTCATAAAGTTATTACCTTTAATATGCACCCAAAATAGTCAAACTACTGTCTTACATTACAAAAAATCTTAAAGTAAGTTAAAATTTTGCTTCCAGCACAAATAGATAAAATACACTGAATGCCCCTTTTGTATTCTTGCTTGCTCCAGCTGAATCCCTGCTCTCCTGCTGTCCTGGGAAGACTCATATGTGTGAAAGCTCTCTCTTACAACACGTGTACCACAGCAACTGCCCCAACAAGTCCTGCTTCTGCGGACCAGCCAAGCCTGTCTGCAGGTAGCACATATGGAAAGATTTCAGTGTTATTCAGCCTGTAGAATCTGTCAGAAACTCCAAGTCAGGGCCAGGATTTTCAGAGCACCAATCTAGGGCCACTAGAGTGAAATAAGCTGAGTTCTCTGACTCCCCCAGTGCTGTTTGGTCCTTTGCTGGTCAGTTTTCCCACAGAAGATCCTTTCAGGAGGACAAGCCTTAGGTTCCCTTGTGTAGAATTTTGTGGGATAGTGTCTAACAGTGGCCAGCAGGTATAGTAAGTGATGGACATCACTTGACTCCTCCTGTTTTAACTTTGCAGAGTATTTATTTTCAAATATTTTCTTGTTGACTACTCTGATGAAGGATTGAATCTTACCATCAGAAGGCAGACATCATAGATGCTCAGTCGAAATGTGCTAAGGTAGTGATTAAGTAAATGAATATAGTGATGAATGTGTGGTTTCACAATGTTCCCCTAACACACTAACATAACTTTATTTGGTGATCAATAATAATTTTGATATACAAGATGCCCAAGTTATCTGTGAAACTGCATTAGTAGTATATTTCAGATTCCTAAATAATTTTATAAGAAATAAGTGTAAAAGCAAAACCATTAATTCTTTAAATATGTTTTATTTTTATCTATAGGAAGATAGAAGAATTCATTATTATAAAATAATGGAAATTTCATAGATTGTATGCTGACACTAAAGTTCAGGAAATCAGAGAACTTGGAAATTATATACCAGTGTTTCCTTGTGCAGATCTAATCTAAGAGGGCACCCATAAGCGTAAGATATGATTGACAAGACATTTCTAGGCAATAATTCTTCTTTGGTGTTCTTAGAAGGTACTAGGCAGATAAAGGAACCATTTAATCATGTAAGAAAAGTACCATTTACTGAGAAGGGTCAGCGAAACTTTTATCATGCCTGAAAATGGGAAAAGACATTTTAAGCAGACAAATGTAGCAGTTGCCCAAATTGACATGGCCATTGAAATGACAAAGTGAAAGGATTTCTGATCAGACATTTTATAGAAACTCATGAAAAATACAAGTCCTTGGTTCATATTTCCCTTCATCACTTGTTCATTTTCTTTACTTGCTAAGTTCACAGTTAAATTATACTCATATGTTCTCACCTTAAACTGCAGCCATATTTCTAACATCACTGATTTCCCACCTAGATAAATGACTCTATGTCACTTTTAATACCTCCTTTTATGCTCATATTTGACAGAGAACACACATACTTAGAATCCATGTGGAATGGCAAAAGCTTTCAAAATAGAAAGGCCTTCAGTTGCTTCCCACTGGCAGGTGGTAAGTGAAGGAGCACTCAAGCAGTAATCTTAGATCAGACAGATCTGAGTTGGAATCCTCGCTAAAAGAACTCAAGCTGTATATAGAGTTCATACCCCAAATATGGACTATAATGTTGAGGGACAACAATGGGACTGATTTCATAAAGCTGTGGTGAAGTTGTGGTAGAGATAATCCATAGACCTCCTAATGACTAAGCTTTTACAACAATTTCATTTAATGCTCACAAGAGCCTGAGAAGATCAGCTCTATTATATTCCCATTCTGACAAGGAGGAAGAGGAAGAGGAGGAGGAGCAGGTAGGCTACAGCAAGCATATAGATTGACACAGATATCTTGATATACACAGAGTATTTGTATTTGTTATACAAATACTGTATAACAAATTTTGTTATACAAAATTTATTATATATATATATATATATATATATATATATATATATATATAATAAAATTTATGTTATACAGGTTTTGTTATACAAAAACCCTGGCTATAACCCATGGGTTATTATTATTTTATTTATAACTAAGGGAAGAGTTTTCAATATGAGAGGAATAAATAATTAAGAAGCCCCTACTAAGTTGAGATAAATATAAGAAACTAGGTGAGAAAGTAAACATGGTATAAGCAGAGAAGGGCAGAAGTCATGTCTCTCAGTTTCACATAGGGTGAGAGAGGGAAAACATGCCCACCTCAACAAAAATAGACATTCAGTAAGCATTATATTGTCTCTATAGCTAGGTGAATACTTTACATGATTTTCTAAATTATTCTTAACATACTTCCTAAGCCATATGACCATCATCCCCTTGTGCAAATCATTACACCCAGAGTTAAAGAAGTTAAGCATTATATCTTGATCTAAAAAGCAAAGAAATCAAGTATATATTTGAGAGTGAGAAATGAAAAATAGTCTGTGTTATTTTATAGCAACTTTAGGTTATTGCCTAATAATCTAGATTATTAAATTGTAAAAGCAAATGAATTTGACACAGAAGTAGATTTAATAAGATGGAAAGTAGCATTAGATATAATTTAATTTAGATCACATATTTTAATCATCTATACAACATTTTGTCATTGCTATTCCATGCAAGATATAGTTCAAAATGGAAGGGAAGGTGTGGCAATCTGGAACATGAAGCCAGTTTATCATATTACATCCACAGTCTGGAAGCAGAAAGAGGACAGGTAATTGGTCAGGCTATACACCCTCAAGGCCTATCCACGTGACACTCTTCCTCCAACAAGGCTTCACCATCTAAAGGTTCTAAACCATCCAAAATACCACTAGCACCTGGGGACCAAGCATTCCATCACATATGCCTATATGGGACATTGCATATTCAAACACAATGTATTTTTACTGGTACGACATGACTCTTTGTAACATGGGTTATTATTATTTTATTTATAACTAAGGAAAGAGTTTTCAATATGAAAGGAATAAATAATTAAGAAGCCCCTACTAAGTTGAGATAAATATAAGAAACTAGGTG